ACTCTTAAAAGAAGTTAGACTCAAGTATAAAAGTTACCGTGTATACATCTGAGGCCCCCCAAAATATGAAGATAAATTTTTATATCAAAATCAGCCTTAAATCTTCTTTCTAATTTGCATTTTTAAAATTTTAACTTTTTAATAGTAGATATGCTTGAAGCAGACCTTTATGAATTCATGGAACAAGTATATGTTGATGTCTGTTGTGGGCCTGGCAATGAGCTTAGTTCATTTTACTGGGGCAAGTGGGAAGGATTCTTAAATTAACATCCTCTTACCTTTGCCTCTAGATATTTATTTCTACCTACTTGAAAAGAAATAGAAATAAGACTTGATTAAATGTTTTTATAATTATCCAGGTAATCTTTTTATATAGTTCTGTTCATAGAAATGAAGAAAGAGGTAATGTTACCTTTGGAGATGTAATTGGTAAACATGGTTCATGTCATCATGTAAAAGGATTGGACAGAAAGTTTGGAGAGCAAAAGATGAGTGTTAGTAGAGCCCTGCTTTTCGAAAGTTACCGTTTATTAGTTCTTATTCAAGAGCTGGTAGAGTTCTTTCCTTTATTGTACAAGCATGTCTTTGCTTATTCAAGTTCCCTAATTCTTGTTTATATTACCTTCTGGCTAACACTACTTAACAAATAATGTTGGGAAAGTAATTGCATTTTAATTATTTTACTATTCCTTCACTATGGTTCTGAAAACAATATAGAAAACTCTGAGGATTTCCCAGTTGAAGAACAGTCTTTCCAGTTTAAATCAGTTCTTCTAGCCTGATGGGGTTCTCTGCAGTGAGTACAGATGGACAATGTCTAGAAGCCAGCACACCCTCTTTTGGGTACTTAGTTTGCTTCTTGAAATGTTAGTCTTTCTTTTAGGGGTATAGATAGTTTTTTCACCGTTTTCTTTTTTTCTTAATGGAGATACTGGGGATTGAACCCAGGACCTCATGCACCACTCTACCACTGGTTTGTAACCCCCCACCCCAAGGGGTATATATTTTTAAAGCTTGGGTCTTATCACAAGATCATGTGTCAAACTTCTCTTCATTGTTGGAGGAGAGGGTTAGCATGTCATTGTAAACTTAATTGTAACCATCAGTTAAGTTAATATATCCATAATCAGCTCACTGAAAATTGGTATGTGTGGTTGAAGCCATGTTTTAGTTTCACAGAAAGCACCCCTACTTGTAGTTTAGACTGATATTATTATAACAACGCTTGACGTTTGTGAAATACATATATTTAACAAAATAATAGGTACAAAATGATTCAGATTTTGTTAAATACATATGAAACGTATGTATAGAGAAAGAAAAAAGGAATATAAGCAATGTAACCAAATGTTAACTATGTTTATCTCTGGATGGTGAGGCCTTTTAGGCTTTAAAAAATATAGTTCCCACTTTTTCGGCACTGAACATGTTATCAGCAAAAAATCTGTGGCCCCACTATGTAGACATACACACGTATATGTATAAAAATTATGATTTAACAAAGTATTTATTAAAAAGCAAACAATTTTCTGATAAATTCTTTAGACATCCAGATCTTTGTAGAGCGAGAGCTATCTATTCCTCAATTATAGAAGGAAAAACCTTTCAGATTGTCAGAAAATGGAGAGTTGGCCCTCTAAACTTGTAATCTTCTTGTGGCATCCAAAGGCATTTGAGGTGATATTTAATGATTATGGAGGTCTCTTAAAGATAGAAAATTGGAGGAGAAAGCCCATCGGAATCAAAGTAGGACTGCAGGTTGTCTTCTGGAACACTGGCAAGCAAGGCTTTTATTAATGTGTTTTTTGCTTACTGGCCTTTTTCCCTCCATGGGGTTGTCTTCTGGCATTTTTTTTTTTTCATTCACAATGAAATTAACTTTGTTTCAGTCCATGAGAAGAATATGAGTTCTTACAACTTAGACTGCCTGATTTATGGAATTTAAAATGTCAGTGATAGCAGGATACTGTTTTTAGCTACTAACATACCAGTATCTGAGCATATTTGGGCAACACAGAGACAACTTCCCAAACTATCATCTCATATTTGTTTTGGGGTTCACAGAATGCACTCATGTGCCTTAACTTACTTCATTCTCAAATACTTGAGGTTGAAGATATTCCCATTTTTAAAGCAGGAGAGCAATGGAGAATTATGCAACACCGTGAGTTAGCCAGAGCTAGAATTAGAATGGATTTATTCCATCTTTGCAGCCTTGCTTGAATACATTTAAAGTACTTGACCAGGTACTTTCTAGAGGCTGAGATTAGGGGATTGAATAAAATGCATTTTCCACATTTACCTCAGGATTATCAGAGCTCCTCTCTTCTGGGGCTTGAGTTGGGCATCGCTGACAACAGTGGTGTCTTGGAAAGGACAGTCACAGGGTGCTCTGAGTTCTGGTTTCCAGAGTCTCGACCTGAGTTGGGCTTCAGCCCCATCCAGGTGGGGAGCTCCTTGCTGTACCTCCCCTGAGTCTAGAGCCTCTTCCAAACAGCATCTCTGCGTACGTGGCCACGCCTGCCTAGCCAGAGGGCAGAGGATATGTGATTTCTCATCTTTAATCCTTATGTTTCTGCTTCTGTATGAACTTAGAGGCTGGACTTGAAATTAGGCTTTGGGCACTATTAGAAAATAAGGTAACCATGCTGCTGCCTGCAGGCAAGAGACTGCTCCCCACCATTTGGGGACATCTGTTTCCAGGTGACTAGAGGTTAGTTGCACTGAAAATAGCAGAGGTGCTCTTAGGGGCTTTTGAATAATGAGGAAGCTGCTAGTCCTGTTTTCCTGCAAACTCTTGAGGTAGCCTGTCTTGAATTTTCCTAACAGTTACCAAAGAGATAATCATCTAAACCAGTGTTCTAGGTGGAAAAGGAATACTTGGGATGTGGTATGTCCGGTATAACTGGTAGGTGGATGCTTTCGCAGTAATTCAGCAGTTGATATTTCAGTTGGAGAGGCCCTCTTTGGGGCTGATGTTGTTTCCTGTAACTGCCTTTTCCAACTAAGTTAAGGTGAGTTGATAGCACTCTGTCACGCTGAACATTCTCTCCACCACTTGTCTAAGTACCTGTGAGGGAGGAAGTAAATCTGAGATGTACTGAGGCTTGTTTTTCCCTCTGGCACTGTTAACCTAGCTCTATTTTCTAATCACTGGTTTGTGGATCTAAAGTTGGGCCAACCTAGTCCTCTGTGAAAATGCCTGCTATGTGAATTAATACATTTTATTTTACTGTTTCTGTTTAGGAGGAGGAGAGAAAATTACATATGTATAGCAAAAGAGAAATGAAAGTAGAATTCATTCATTTATTCAGTAAAATTTAATTGAGTACCTCCTATATTCTAGGCATTAGTGTTATCACTGTGGATACAGCAAAGAGCAAGGCAGCCAGGGCCCCTTTCCTTAGGAGGAAAACAGATGTGAAACTGGAAAATGACTTGGCGGAAGATGATTTGGTGGGCTGGGGGGAAAATATTTAAGTGCTCAGAAAAGGCCTAAGTCACATATTTATGCTAAAATCTAGATCACAAAAAGTTATTTTCATGAAGTTCTGGGAGAAGAGTATTCCAGGCAGAGTGAAGAGCAAGGGCAGTTAGGAGTGAACTTGGACCAGAAAGAAGGGCAGTGTGCTTGGAGCTTGAGACCAAGGAGGGAGATGTGATTCAGCATGAAGTTGGAGGGGAAGGCAGTGACCCCAGATCACAAAGGGTCTTGTGGGCAGGGGTAAAGATTTTGGATTTTGTTTTGAGCACAGTAGAAACAATTGGAGAGCTTTACACAGAAAAGCAATATGATCTGAAAAAGTATCATCTGGCTGCTATAAAGAGAGTCGATTGTGGGGAGCAAGAGCAGAAACAGGGAGACCAGTTAGGCAGGCAGTTGCTGCAGTGGCCCAGCTGAGAGATGCCAAAGGCTTGGACCAGGGCGCTGGTGATACAATGACTCATTAGAACTCCTGTGATGTCCTTATACTCTTTCAATGCAGTTTTTAATGTTAATGAGCTTTACATTCGAACTTAAATAAAGTAATATTTTGAATTAGTGTGGAGTTCTGTGATTTCTAGCCACCATGTTTTTTTTCCCCCTTCATTTTATTTATGCAGTTTTTGACAGCCAAGTGCTGACTTTTAAAGCATCTGATTTCTTTTTGGCCTACTTCTGTGTACCCAGTCTGCCTCAGTCTCTGATTTGTAGCTCAGTGTTTTCCAATGATTGCTTATAGTTGTTTATTAAACTATTTATTACCTTTCTTTTTGCAAACTCTTTACTGCAGAAAGTACAGCAAAATAAAAGGAAGGGGAAAAAAAAAAACACATGATCCCACTCTCCAGGGAAATGTTTTATTTCCTTTCAGTCTTTTTTCTGTCCACGCATGTATTTATTTCTAAGCGGTTGTTATTTCTTAAGTAAATTTTGCAAACAGTAGTTTTTATGAGAAGTTCAGTAGTTAAGTGGTTTGCTTCATTTACTTTTTCATCGCATTCTTTACGGTGCTGGAACAATTTCTTACTTTCTTCACTAGAGCGCTGCTGTCACTAGTTGAAAAGCCATCCTCTCATTCGGTGTTAATTATGTGACTCTGATGTGCTTTGGTTGCATTGTCTGTGTCTTCAGCCAGCTTTGTAAAGATATCTTTAAAATGCCCACCAAGCTAAAGTCACAGATTATTCCAGAGTTCACATTATTTTCCTTTTTTGGCGTTTTTCTTTTCTCGAAGCTATAACTTGGTTAGCTTTGCCAGGATCCATTATTCTAATCTTCAGGTAATATAAATTAAATATATTAGCCTGTTAATTAATTCTTTAATTGCTTCTAGGATTTATGGTGCCTTAGTTCAGCTTATAATAAAGAAGTTAGAAATCTCTTCCTAAAAATTTTTGAAACTCACCTAGATCTTGCCTATAAAAGTGCATTCAGGAAAATAGAAGTTCTTTTTTCAATGTGTTTGTTCTGAAAGCAGGCTAAAATACAATGATGATTCTTGGTGATTATTTTGTAGACCTCAAAGGAAGATCTTCTGCAGGCTGATTTTGAAGGTGCTTTGAAGTTCTTCAGAGTTCAGCTTCCAAAGAGATACAGGGCAGAGGAAAATGCAAGAAGGTTAATGGAGCAGGCTTGCAATATTAAGGTAAGGTCTATGAATTTATATACAATAAAGGCGGGACTTGAATGAGGAATAACATGACGAATTATGTAAAACCCTTTCTCTGTGTGTTGCTGGATTTTGACTGTGTGGTGTGGTCTATGAACTAGTCTCTCACAGACATTTTTGTCAAGCTGGTGTGTATACATGGTAGCTGTACCTTCTAGTAGGATTTAAAGTGAAATTTGGCAGGTTCAGAGTGTAACAAGAGGAAGACAAACATTTATCTTACAGGTGGGGCTCTAGAATGGGATGCTGTGATAGTGGTTTCCATGGCAGCAGACTTAGTGTTTAGCTTTTGCCATCTGGTTTAAGATTATTTAGGACAAAGCAAGAAAAGCCTGCTCAGGCAACACTTTCTTTTCTCTACGGGGCTTGGACAGCTCTGGGTGTTGATTTGCCCATCCCCTGACAGATGTCTGTGGATACGTTACTCCTTATCATGTACCTGATGAAAGTAAACAAGTTTTTGTAAATAATTTGAAATAGAAATCTCTACCCAGAGAATTGTGGTATCAAGGTGAGATAGCACAATTTTAAAAGATTTGGAACCAATTTACTGATACAAATTCTTGTACCTCTGGAATATCCCAGAGAATCTTCTTACCTAACCATGACGAAGATAGAAATTTGTTTTCTGAACAAACAGACAAAGTTCCCAGGTCCTATGGACCCTGTATTCTTGTAGAAAGAAAGAAACAATAAACAATTAACATAAAGAATATATTTAAAACCAACCATACTTCAATTATAAAGAGAATATATTTAATTTGTATTTAGACGGTGGTAAATAGCTATGAGAAAAGAAAAAGTAGGGCAAAATAAACAAGATTGGATTGTTGGGGAGAAGGAACACTACAGTTGTTGTTAGATAGAGTAGACCTTGCTGAGAGGTGAAGAAAGTGGGTTAGTCATGGAGAAGAGCATTTCAGCAGAGTCAACAGCTAGTTCAAAGGCCCTGAGGCTGGCTCATGCCTGGTGAGTTTGAGGAACAGCAAGAAGACCAATGTAGCTGAAATGAAGTGAATGAAAGTGAAGATAATAGGCGAGGAAGTTAGAGAGCTCACAAGGAGCCAGAAAATGTAGGCCATTATAATGATTTGGGCTCTGCTTTCAGTGAAGTGAGGAGCCCTTGCAGGGCTTTGAGTGGAAGAGTGATAAGATCTGTCTGAGACGTTGGAGGATCACAGTGTCTGCTGGGTTGAGAACAGACGATAGGAAGGTAAGGGTAGAAGTAGGGAGATCAGATGGCGGGGGTTGCAGTAATCTTGCTGAGAAATGATGACAGATTGAATCAGGGTGATAATAGTGGGGACAGAGATGGAATGGAGATGGAGGTGGTTGGAACCTGGGTATAATTCTGAAAGAGAACCAGAAGGATTTCATGATGTATTAAATAAACATGAGTGTGAGAGGAAGAGAGGAGTCAGAGTGATTCCACAGATTTGGGATCGAGCAATTAGAAGATGGACTTGCGACTGACTTATTAAACTCATTACTTAAAATGTATTTTGACACAACTTCATTTAAGCTCAATACCTACTGTAACCCTTTTTTGGTGTAACACATTTTTTGAATTTTTAAGTTATTTTAAACTAAATTCTGAATGTTAAAAAGTACAACACAATGCTGAAGGTAAATAACTTGAGGAGAAAAAAATTATATTGTCTTTCAAATGAACTCTGTATTCAAAGAGATCATTTTCTACAAGTATGAAGAAAGACAGGTTTCTGAAGTCTTCATCCTGAAATGCAAACTTTTAAAGCCTTTAGGACTGACTGTTTCAT